GCCTGGAATGTTCTCCCTCTACTTCCTGGCTTTTTTGGCTTTCTTCAAGACTCAGCACAAATCCTGCTTTCTTCAAGAGGCCTTCTCTCTTCTCCTTCCCCCATAGCAAGTGCCTTCCCTCTGAAATTGCCTCATATCTATAACATGTGTGTATTGCACATACATGTTATTTGTGTATTTTCTCATCAATTGAAGTGTAAGTTCTTTGAAGGTAGGGACACTTTATTAAATATTTACTCTATAATAGACACTACATTAAGTGGGAATACAAAGACAAATAGTCTTTGCCCTAAAGAAACTTATGTTGTATAGAGGCATGTAACATATCCACATAAAAAAATGGATAGAAAATAATTATTTATGAAAAAAATACGATATAAATTGGTGAAGGATATTAGCAACTGGAGTATAGAGAGATCTGTCATGTTGGCATGGCATTTTAGCTAAGCATTGGAAGGAACTAAAGATTTTAAGAAGTGGGGATAAGGAAAAAGTGCATTCCAGGTATGAGAGACAGACAGCTATGCAGAAACAGGGACAGGTGATAGCATGTCATGTTTGACAGCAAGATCAGTTTGGCTGGGCTTTAGGGTGCATGAAGGCAAGATTACAAGCCTAGAAAGGTAGGCTGGAGCTATATTTTGAAGGGCTTTAAATGTCAGATGGAGATGTTTGTATTTGATCCTAGAGAAAACTGGAGTTTATTGAGCAGGAAGAAACATGGTCAGATCTGGGCTTCAGGAATATCAGTTTGGCATCTTCGTGTGTAGTATGGAAAGGGGAGAGACTTGAGGCAAAAATACCAATTAGGACGGTATTGCACAAATCTGATTGATGATGAAGGTATTAGCTAGGGAGCTGGTCGTGTGACTAGAGAAAAGTAGCTGGATGCAAAAGACCCTGTAGAGAGATAACTGCTGAAACTTACTGACTAATTAAATAAATGAGATTAAGGAAGGTGAGGAGTCAAGGATGACTCTGAGATTGGGAAAAGAGGTAACTGGAAGAATGGTGGCACCATCAAAATAAATAGATTAGTTTAGAAGAGGGTGGAATTTGGGAAAAATAATGAATTCTGTTTTGTACTTGCTGAGTTTGAGACACACAAGGAACTATCAGATCCAAATGTCTAATAGGTAGTTGGTAATGTGAAAATGAAGCTCAGGAGAGATACTAGGTCTGGATATATAGATCTGGAAGTTATCTGCACAGAGATGATTATTGAACTCACGGGATTCACCTCCTTCAAGAATGAAGCCAAGTTCCAGAAATGGCATGGAAAGCCTTCTTGAAATAACCACTAGTGATATTCTCTTTGAATATCATATAAGCTATTTTCAATTGAATAAAAATGCATATAAGCATAACATAAATTATAATACCCTAGCTTCTGAAGTATCAATGTGCTTTTAAACACCCTGGACTTCTTCTATTCTTGTAGGAAAAAAGCTAGGAGATAAGTCACTCAAAGGTAATGTCCATCTGATGGATAAATGAATATACGAATGTGTCTTAATGATCATCACATTCCACAGAAGGTGGAAGTATACACATGCCTTCCTCATAATAACACTGAGAGATAGCTACTGCACATATTATCCCCATTTTTACAGATTAGGAAACTGAGACTTATAGAATTTACATGATTTTGCCTGAGGCCACAGTGCTAGTAACTGGCAAAGCCAAAATTGGCACTCCAGTCTAGCACTCTTTCTATTACAGCAGATTTGTACCTTTAAAGGGGCTTCTCACTAGAGAAAATCATTGGAAGGTGATTTTTTTAGACAAAATATAAGATTATAGTATTTCAGCTACATGCAATTTGATAAAGAGATTCAAGATCTGTAAAGTGAGAGGGTTGGACAAGATAACCTTTAAACACTCCTTTAATTCTAAACCTATGATCCCCAGATTTTCCTGAACACTGAAGACTGGGTAGATGTTGTCATGAGGGAAAATGCCCTGTGATCTATGAGGTCCTTCAAGTGCTTCAATAATTCAAACTTCTTAGATGGATTTGCATCAAACCATGAAAATAGTTTCACATAAAGCACATCAACTGTGTGGCTACTGCCCTCTGAATAAATGAATACATGTTATGTGTCCAAGGCAACAATTAATTGCTGTCTCCCAAGGAACACATTCACAATTTTAAAAGACAGCTTTTTGGACACAAAATGTTGGAGAGGAAATAGATCATGTGCATAAACTCAGGAGGTGGTACATGTATCATAAAAAGAAAAATGTTGGTAGAAGAGACCAGCAATTTTCAGGAGAAAATATTTTAAAAGAGCAATAACACATCACATGGCCTCAGGCAACTGTATACAAATGAGCAGCATGTGGTTAATAAGCATTATGAACTAGAGCTATTGTTATTATATTAAAGAGGTAATTATATATTAAGGAGGCATTATATATGTATATATGAAAGGTAAATTAGTTTTTACAGGTATCACTATGAAATGGTACAATGTGATGCAGCTGAGTTAATCTGCCTTGTACGTATGGAGGAATCCAGCTCTATCAATGTTAAGCTGTGATAACATTTCCACTAGCTAAGGGGCAGTGCAAACCTAATACCCACTTAAGTACAAGTTTTGCATATTTCTTTGAGACTGTCTGGTGCAATGGAAAGAACATGAGGTCTGGAGTCAAAAGATCAAGGTTCAAAACCAGGCTCTGCTACCTATTGCCTATATAACCTTGGCTAAATCCCTTAAACCAGGAGCAGGCTTTGAGGTCCCACCCCTGAACCCTCTGCTCCAGTTTCCTTATCTGTAAAATTCCGGGATTGAATTAAATGACCTCTAAGGTCTCTTCCAGCTCCAAATCTATATGTTAGTCGATTTTATAGATGAAGAATTTAGGAAGTTTAGTTGGTCTGAATTGGACATAAAAAACAGATCACTTGTCTGAACTTTCAGTATGCTTTCCACTACATCAAGGAATCCATTTTCCTTTGAATGAGAACCGCAGTCCTATGAAAAGAGTAGTCAAGGTAGGTATTATCTTGCCCATTTTACAGTTAAGAAAACTGAAGCTTTAAGAAGTCGAATTCAGGATCCCCCAGCTGGGAGAGCCAGGACCAGGATTCAGTCTTCAGATTCTGGGGCCTAAATTCTTTTCACTACAGGACGAAAAAGTATCAAAAAACATGCAAATTCCCTAGAAATGAGTCTCTGTTTATTATCATCATAGGCATGAATCATGGCTCTAGAGTGGGAAGGGACCTTAAAGGACATTTAGTCCTCCACTGCCATTTCACCGATGAGGAAGCTGAGAGTCAGAAAGAATAAAGTGACTAGCTCAAAGTCACACAAATGGCAAGGGGTAGGGGATGGATTTGCACTCAGGGATTCTGACTCCAAGTCCAGAGAAGGCAGAATTTTCTGAGGGAACAGGATGACATCATACGTGTGTAGACACATATCTTACCTCAGGGTAGTCACCAAAAACAAAGAAATATGGATGTGCACGTATATATGCACCTTTACCCAGAATTTTCATGAAATGCATCTGGAAAAAGTTCCGCTTTAGAGCCCCTGGTGGAGATTTCTCAGTACGCTTTAGGAAGATTAAGCAGAGTTTAAGGGGACAGTCCCGTACATCTGCTTCTCTAGGAGTGGACTGGGGTCCGACTCCACCCTAAAGATGAGAGAATAGCTCTCCTTTCTCACTTCTCCAACTTGCTTCTGCCTCTGCTTTCCTTTTCGTAAGACTATATTATGCCTCTTTTTTTACCGGCAAATGCTGGCTCGTGTGGGTCCTGAAGCCAGTCATGCCTTCTTCCTGCGCCCTTGAAAGTCACTGATTTAACAGTTTATTTTTGCTATTCGTCTTCAGCTAAATGAAAGTTGTTCTCGGGACCAAAGGAGCTAAGGCTCCAGCTCCTACCGGATGCTAGTTAAGCGTCCGTTCCTGAGCTATCCTCAGCAGCGCTTTTGGTTCCAGAGTTCAGGCTGAGCTTCCGACTTCCCTCCCACATAGGAAGGAGATTAGAATGAAGTCTGGACCCTGCAATGGAAAAGAGGACGCTCTCCTTTAGAGAACAAAGCAGTTTTGTATGGACAGGTAGAAGTGGAAGCAATAAAAATCCCTCTTCCTTCTCTACTGCAGAATAGAAGCAGGATGAACATGAGGCAGGAGAGAAGGAAGCGTTGAATTCGTATCCATATCAGGGGTAGGGCAGATTATGTATTAAGAAGTTGTATTGGGTATGAAATTGGGCAGTTGTAAACAGACCTCACTGATAAGACCAAGATTCGTCCCTTTGTTGGAAAGAGGAGGAAAAATATTTTATGAATTGTTGCAGTGTTGTGGAAAAGGAGCGGGGCAGGGGTGGGGCCTGAGGGGGAGAAGAAAAGATCGATGAAGGAGTTATGTGCTCTGAAGAGGAGTGTGCGCGCGCCGGTCCAAGGATAGAAAGGACTTGCATAATTTCCCGCTGGTGCAACTGGAAATTGATGTTTTTATTCCCAAAGACTGACGAATTAAAATAGGGAGGTGGTGGGCGAGTAGTGGCCGGGGTGAGCGCAGGGGTAAAGGAGAATTGAGATGCCCTGGCCATTGAGAAGAGCCGGAACGCTTAACAGTTTCTGCTGTCTCCAGATGTTCTGCTGAGCAACTAACGGGAGCCCCAGCTCCACCCTTGCAGCAATGATGCAAAAAGAACAAATCATCGACGTGGAAAAAAAAAAGGAGGGAGGTTGGCACCAGGCGATAAGCAGCCACTGAGACGGGAGCGCCTTTCTGGGGAAAACAAATCTAGCATAAATAATTGTGACCCGCTCGCGGTGTTTGCAGACTCCTCACCTACAAACCTTTGCTAGCGTTAGGAAAAAGGAAAGGGAGGGGAAGAGAGAATCAGGGCTAGAAAAAAGCAGCCCAGAGACAGATATTGAGTCCTGGAAGGACAGACAGAGACAGAGAGACAGAGAAGGGAACCGAGGACAGAAGAGAGGTAGGGTCAAAAGAACGAACGAAAGGAGGGACTGCTGAAGGGGAGAAAAGAAGACAGAGTGTACTGAAGCATCAAGGAACTCGAGAGGGAAGGTAGACGTAAGTGAAGAGGGGAGGGTGAGGTGGGGGCCCAATGGGCAGCACGCGTTTCCCCGGTGGGGCTTTGCCCGCCTGGACAGCTGCCACCGGTAACTCCAGTCCTTGGTGGCCTTCGGCCGGCAGCCCCACGGCGGCCCCCAACGCTAGCTTGGACATCTCGGGGGGCGACAGTCGCAACGAGGAGCTGGCCAAGCTGGAGATCACCGTGCTGGCTGCGACTTTCGTGGTGGCCGTACTGGGTAACGGCAGTGTCCTTCTGGCCCTGCACCGCACCCAGCGCAAGACGTCTCGGATGCACCTCTTCATCCGCCACCTCAGCCTCGCCGACCTGGCGGTCGCCTTCTTCCAGGTGCTGCCCCAGCTGTGCTGGGACATCACCTACCGCTTCCGCGGTCCGGACGGCCTGTGCCGCGTCGTCAAGCATCTGCAAGTCTTCGCCATGTTCGCCTCGGCGTACATGCTGGTGGTGATGACCGCCGACCGCTACATCGCGGTGTGCCACCCGCTCAAGACTCTGCAGCAACCTGCCCGGCGCTCTCGGGTCATGATCGCCGCCGCCTGGGCGCTGAGCTTCGTGCTCAGCACGCCCCAGTACTTCATCTTCTCCATGATCGAGGTCAACAACGTCACCAAGGCCCGCGACTGCTGGGCCAACTTCATCCAGCCCTGGGGGCTCCGCGCCTACGTGACCTGGATGACCGGCGGCATCTTCGTGGCCCCGGTCATCATCCTGGGCACCTGCTACGGCTTCATCTGCTATCACATCTGGCGGAATATCCGCGGCAAGACGTGCACGGTGAAAAGCAAGGAAGAGGAGGAAGCGGCCGCCGGCGCCTTGCGCAAGGGCCTTTTGTTGGCCCCCTGTGTCAGCAGTATCAAATCCATTTCTCGGGCCAAGATACGCACGGTGAAGATGACGTTCGTGATCGTGACAGCCTACATCGTGTGTTGGGCGCCCTTCTTCGTGGTCCAGATGTGGTCTGTCTGGGACCAGCAGTCCTCTTGGACCGGTAAGTACCTGGGGGTGGCCGAAGGAAGAAGGAGAGAGAGAGAGAGAGAGAGAGAGAGAGAGAGAGAGAGAGAGAGAGAGAGAGAGAGAGAGAGAGAGAGAGAGAGAGAGAGAGAGAGAATTAGAGACAGAGACAGAGAGAGACAGAGGCAGAGACAGACAGACAGAGACAGGCAGACAGAGAAGGAGAGGCAGAGAGAGACAGAGGGAAAGACAGAGAGACAGATAGGCAGAAAGAGACAGAGACAGAGAGAAAGACAGAGACAGAGAGAGACAAAAACAGAGAGAGACAGAGAGGCAGAGAGAGACACAGACAGAGATAGAAACAATCAAAGAGAGACACAAAGAGAGAGAGAGACAGAGGCAGAGACACAGAGGCAGAGACAGAGAACCCAGATAGAAACAGACACAGAGAGACAGACAGACAAAGAGACAGAGGCAGAGAGAGACAGAGACACAGAGAGAGAGAGACAGAGAGAGAGACAGAGAGTGAGACAGAGACAAGACAGAGGCAGACAGAGACAGAGAACCCAGATAGAGAGAAATAGACACAGAGAAACAGAGACAGAGAGGGAGAGAGAAGCAGAGGGTCAGAAACAGACACACATATAGGCAGATATAGAAACAGACAGAGATACCAAGATAGAGAGACAGACATGGAGAGACACAGGAATATAGACAGAGAAAGAGACAGACAATAGAGAATGATAGCTGGAACACCCAGTGGTGTGCCAAGAAAATAGAGACTCAAGGTTTTTCTCTTGACTGGTGTTTTTTCCCCAGCTTTCTTTCCCAGCAAGTAGGAATGTGTATTGAAATATTTTAAATTTCCAGAAGGAAACATTTTTAGAATTTTCCTGAACAGATAGTCTAGGCTCCCAGGAAGGAGTCTTTTTTTCTCTTTTTACTGCTCTGCTTTTGGAAGGAAAATTTCAATTAAAATGTTTAATGTACCAGCTAACCTGAAAAACCCAGAGTTTACCATCTCTTAATTTATAAGGGCTTAAATAGAAAATCAAATAGGCTTAGGAATATTGCAAAATTCATTCCCATTTCTCCCTCCTTGGTTGGTAAAAATCCTATGACATTCTGGTAAATAAGATTATTCATGAATTTTGGCTGCAACAGGTTGTTGGTGCTGGAACACCATCACTGCTTGAAACTGCCACGGAGACTTAAAAGTTTCACAGAAATCATCTAATATCCAGGCTTATGTTCTCCAAAAGCAGTTACGTCCCCAAATTTTGAATCTTTTCATGAAGCCTGGGTTATGATTTGAGGTTTAACTTAGTTCCCCTTTCTTCTACAAGTCCATTTTGAAATGCTAATAGGTGTGATTGTCCAGTCTTTCAAAATGGATTTTGACCATAAGAGGAAAAAGAGTTACAGATCTTTTATATCAGGCTATTACATTGGTGAACCGCACTTGTCTGATAAATGTACCAAGTGAGAATCCATGAATTTTAAAGCTGAGAAGGGCTTTAGAGATCATCTGGAATCATTCTCACTTAACCCTCAAGATTCTAGTAGAGGAAATAGAGACCTAGAGAGAGAGAGAGAGTGATTGCCCAAAGTCATAGTGGTAATATGTGGAAAAGTCAGGATTTGAACTCAAATCTTCTGAATGCTCCAGACTCTGTGTACTTTCAAGGATGCTACTTTGTATCTTTATCTTCTAATCTCTTTCCAAAATGGTGACACTAATTTCATTTAACTACTTCTTCTAGACATTCAGACCTCTTTAGCTATTCATAAACCTTGAAAAAATAATTTAACTCATTATTAAGGAAATTTTTTTTTCAATTCAAATATTTTACCCAAGACTTTGTGGGCAACAAATATAATTACAAGGAAGTAGATGTCTTTTTTTTTTAATGGGACATGTTAAAATGTATATTCAACATACTAAGGAGTTACATTTTTCCAGCAAATTATTCTACAAAATGTTTTCTAAATAAATGAGAAATAACAGGAGATATTAAAAAAGTTTTTCTTTTATAATTTACAGGCTGTGACTACTGTGGTCTCTTAATATTGCCAACCAAGTATGAAAGCAGGCCTAAACGCTGTATCATCAAAAGCAAAATGCAATTATGAAAAGACCTTTTTATATTCTGCTAAGACACTAGATCATGAGTCAGGGTTCATTCTTTTTTTGCCACAGCTTCAGGCCTTGATAGTAATCCCTGAAGAGAAGGGACAGTATTTTTATATTCAAAGAACAATATTACAAATTTGCATTGGTATAGTGAGTCCAGATTTGAACAGTCAAGAAAAATTTATGTTAGCACACATTTTTTTCATTTTAAGAAAAGGAATAGTATTCATACAAGAGTCCTTTTGCAAAACATGAAATATATATAACATACAGACAATGTGATAAGTAGAAAATCCTCTTAGATATTCTCTAAGCCAACCCATCCATCTTACATATGAGAAAATCAAGAGCCAGGATGGTTGACTCATCCAAAGTATTCAGGTCTTTCGTTCTAGTAATAGCATTTATTTAGGTCAACAAGTGCCAGGTAGGATTAGAGAACTATGATTAAAAAAGAAATCTGTTTTGAAAGTTTTCTATTTTCTCACAAGTGGTCTTAACAGAATTTAACTTTTTAAACCTTATTACTCAAGATTGTCTCATAGTAATTTATAGTGTGCTGGTAAAGAAGAAATATAATTGTACTATTTATATCCTGCAAAATTATAGTCTAATAGGTCTTCATCTTTGATGTGAGATCATTTTTAAGCACTAAATACTGGACTCACATTTCTACAGTCATTGCTGGAATCATTGAGATAGATGCAAATGTATAGACTTGGTTATTTTGTTGTTGTTAGTCATTTTCAGTTGTATCAGACTCTTCATGACCCCATTTTGGGGTTTTCTTGGCAAAGATACTGGAGTGGTTTGCCATTTCCTTTTCCAGCTCATTTTATAGATAAGGAATCTGAGGCAAATAGGGTTAAGTGATTTGCCCAGGCTCACACAGCTAGTAAGTGTGTGCTGCTAGATTTGAACTCAGGAAGATGAATCTTCCTGACTCCAGGCCCAGCACCCTATCCATTACACCACCTAGCTGCAATTATCTCTACTTTCTCATACGTCTTCAATCACTTCTTCCCCATTAACTGTTTACCATCTCCCTATAAATATGATCTGGTTTCCTTAATGCCATTGAGCTGCCCTAGACTCAATTATAGAGTCCTAGAATTTCATTGAAAGGGAATTCATTTCATTGATTCATTGATTTGACATTGATACTGTGCAAGGCATTTTGCTAGGTACTGTTGGTAATAAAAAGGTGTGGAAGGAATCCTAATCATTGTTTTTGATCCTCATCATAAGCATTCATGGAATCATAATATATAGGTTGGAAGGGACCTGAGAGGACAAGTTCAACCCATACCTGAATAATAATCTATTTTGACGATGTCTAGTGTAGGGCAGCTCCCAAAGCAGTCCATTCCAATTTTTGACAGCTGTAATTGTTTTGATTTTTTTTTCTCACATCAAGCTGAAATCTGCCTCTCAGTAGCTCCCAGCCATTATTCCCAGTTCTACCCTCTTGCTCCAAGCAAAACAACTCCATCCTAGTTCCCTAGAGCATCCTTAGAAATTCTTGAAGACAGCCATATTGCCTCCCCACCATTGTCCTTAGCCTTCTCTTTTCCAGGCTACACAGACCAAGTTCCTTCAAATGATCCTCAAACAGCATGGTTTTCTATCTCCTTACCACTCTGCTTAAATAATTTCAGTAATTTTAAAAGACATTCTATTTGCTTCCTGGTATCTCAGTTAGGGAACCATTTTATACACGAGTCAAGATGCATACAACACGTTCTCCCTACTGATCACTGGACAACACTGTTAGTGATCCATTTTAATAGACTGCTCCACTTCCCCACAAATTATTTAATAGATTATTATCAAGTGATTAAGAGTAATTAATTAAAGCAATTAAAATCAATTGAAGATTATTGTCAAGTAACTGTCATTTAAGTACTCAACGCAAGGATTCTTAATCTGGGGTATGTAAACTCTTAAAAATATCTTCACAATGATATTTCAGTATAATTTGTTTCTATTGTGAATCTAAGTATTTTATTTTATTCATTTTCAACATAACCCTGGAAAGTGATCCGTAGACTTTAATAGATTAACAAAGTGACCCATGACATAAAGAAGGTTGAGAACTTCTATTTTTAAGGATCCTAAACCAATTGAATGCAAGCCAGCAAATATTTATGAAATGCCTGATGTGTGTAAGGCTCTGTGCTTAGGGATACAAATATCATGTTGATGTCAGTACACCCTCCATGAGTCCAGATTGCAGCCTATCCACACCCTGTGCAATTCTTCATGTCTTGCTGGTTTTCTTCTTGTATTTGTTCCCTTCATTAGTATATCAACATGTTGATCTCTGGACAAAAGTTGTACATTTCTAATACCAGCTTTAAAATTAACATTTTTATTCAATCTAGAAAGTGCACAAGTCTTGGCACCATCTCAATAGTAGTAAAATAATTCAGTCTTACTTTTTGCACAGATTCTGAAAACCCTGCCATCACCATCACTGCTTTACTGGGCTCCCTAAACAGCTGCTGCAACCCCTGGATTTACATGTTTTTCAGCGGCCATCTTCTACAAGACTGTGTACAGAGTTTCCCCTGCTGTCGAAAAACGAAGCAACCATTGAGCAAAGAAGATTCTGACAGTATGAGCAGAAGGCAGACTTCATTCACTAACAACCGAAGTCCCACAAATAGCACCGACACCTGGAAAGACTCCCCTAAGTCATCCAAGTCCATCAGGTTCATTCCTGTTTCAACCTGACTCCTTTATGCAGTGAGAGTTTTTTGAGTGACAGTGGAAAACTTTAGGTGGGTGAAGCTAGGCGTCATTGGAGCATAAGAAATGTTTGAAATACATTAAGTGTACGGTACTGTATTTCTAGAGAGCTTCTCTCGCTGATGTGAACAAAAGCTGTAAATAATTTTGTAGGTACTGTTATCAAAAACTCTATTTGCTGAAATATGGGAAAGTGATTCTGTCCTGGCAGAATTGAAGTTATTTTTCTTTTTTTCTTTTTTTGAAGTTATTTTTCTAAAGGAAAAAAAATCATAGTAAAATACCTCCCTTCATCCATTCCTCCCTTCCCCCTCCCCATTGCTCTTGGACTTACTCTTTTCTATTTGTTCCCAAAGTAACTAATGCATGGTCAGTTTAATATAATATTCATTTAATTTAGAGGCACCATTTTTGATTAATAACAAGCCCCCCACCCCTGAAAGGAACTAGAAAAGGATCCACAGGAATCAGTGCTTCAGGCAACTGAGAATGTCCTCTCTGTTGGCACAGGAGTAAGTTGAAGACAGATATCCTAGGTCCCTCCTATCAGCCTTATGCAAAAATGGAGAAGGTTTCTTTTTAACTGCCTTTGGACATGGGACCACCACTATGCAACTTGGGATCAGGAACTATGGAGCTATGGACAGCTGAAGCCCTACACCAGGGAATAAAGCTTACTATATTAACATATTTCAGACACTTCCCCCAGTAGAAATGGAAAATGATGGCTGTCTTGTGGTGTTTTCATATATAAAGAAATTCCTAAAACTGTTAAAAAAAAAGAGTAGAGATTTAGAGTGGGAAAGGATTTCAGAAGTCATGGAGTCCAACACCCAGCTTCTTTTCTTTCTAAACAGATAAGCAAAATGTGACCAAGAAACATTAAGAGACTTGTCCAAAATCACAGAGACACTAAGTGGCAAAAACCAGGAATATTTGAACCTCAGACCACACATCAAGCACTCTTTTTTTTGTGCACGAAACAGAAACGAAGAGATTTCTGTAACATATGGGAAGCTGATACTTTTGGCCTTTGCTTCTTTCGAATAGTAAGTTTCAAAGTTTTCAAAAGAATGACACAGAATATGGATTTATTCCCCTGATACTGAAATTGCCTTGGCCTTTGCTTTCGGCCCCAGACCCCTCTTGCCACTTGGCATTTGGTGTACTCAGAGCCGCACTGTTTATTTTTAATCTACTAATATGGATGGTTTAGTGTCTGGGCTATCGAAATTCTCAAATGCAAATATAGCTCTGCTGATTCGTTGGAAAAATGTTTCCAATGGGCAAGAAAATGATTCATTTTGAAGCAAAGTCTTCTGGCTTAAGGTAAGAAATGCTTACTTTTGGAGACAGGTGAATTAAAGGCCTAAACCATCCATTTAGTTGATTTCTGAACAAAGGCAAATTATAATTTGGCTTTTTCTGTTTACATAGCATCTATAATTAGGGGAGCTCAGTGTGCTTTTCAGCCCATTATGTTTGCCTCCTACCTTCCTCATGGAAATGATGCCAGGGCAATATAAGCTTTTCTTGAACTAAATTCCACCCTATAATAACAAAGTGATCAGGGATCTTCCAGTGTGGACTGCATTTTAACACATTTACACATGTAGATGCAATACATTCCCTTCCCCTAAACAAGACAACCTAATTTGGATCCTGCCTTCCAGAAATATGAAAGAAATAAAAGACATAGGTCAATTTATGCAGTATAGTTCTACTTTTCTCATGAAGCAACATGATATAATGGGAAAGTGCTAGACTAAATGTCTGGAGATCCCAGTTTTAGTTCTGGACAAGTCATCAAGCTCTCTGGTCCTAAGGTTCTTCAATCTCTAAAGTACTGCCTGGCTGCTCCATAATTGTGTGCCACGATAATAACAACTCACAGCTATGTAGTGCTGAGAGGTTTAAAAGCATTTTCTTCACAGCTCTCCTTCTGAGGTCAGTAATGCAGGTATGTTCATCCTCCGTGTGTGTGTGTGTGTGTGTGTGTGTGTGTGTGCACACGCGCGCGTGCCTATTCAAACAAGATAGACAGAATATAGAAAGCAGAATATTATCACCTAGAGGACTACAAAAGTCTTATTGCAGATTTAAACCATTAAAGCTTGAAGCCATTAGACTATTAAAGTTTATAATAGGCTTAAAACTGCACTAAAATTTTAGGGACACCCTACATTAGCTATTTTCAAAAAAAAAAAAGATTCAAAAATATACCCTTTTTGGCCTGAGTGATTTGCTTGTGATTGGAGTACAGACTGAAGACTTGGTGGCAAAGAACAAGTTCATTGTTTTGGTTTTGGGGGGAAGAAGCATATTTGTGATGTCCATTTGGACATGGAAGATACAGTATTTTATTCATAGGAAGAACCTATGTTTGGGGACATTTGTCTAATGAAACTTTGAAATAGATAAATAAATAAATTAATAAACAGTGAGGAGGTATGGTGTGACGGATAGCCTCAGAATCAGAAAGTCCTGGGTTCAAGGGCCTCTGATACATACCAGTCACGAGACCTTAGGAAAGTCATCAAACCTCTCAGTGTCGCTGACAAATGTCCAAAATTTAGGAGTCATAGGGATGGTGTAGAATTATATTTGTAAAAGGAGTTTTCCTCTCCAGGTGATCCCTGGAAGCAAGGTGGTGCAGTAAATAGTATGCTTGGCCTTGAGTCAAGAAGACTTGAGTTCAAATTTAGCCTCAGAAACTTATAAACCCTGTGACCCATGTCAGTTTCTTCAACTTAGCACAGTGATTAGCATATAGTAGGTTTAATAATAAAAGTTTATTGCCTTCCCTATACTGATGAAGTCATTGATCTAGAGAAATGTATGTGTATGTGTAAATATGCATGTAAATTCCTTTATTCTCTTTTATCAATTAATATTTAGGAATTATATTAACCTGTATATGTAATTCAATGAACATTTGGGAGATATGCACATATGTGCATATGGTATGATAAATCTTATGATACTGTCATGGTAAATACATATTGTGTATATGTGTATAGGTATGCATATATATTAGAATGAAGACTTGTGGGCAACAACAAATTCATTGTTTAGAGGAAAGAGATGTGTGTGTGTGTGTATATAGTTATTTAGTGATTAATCAAAATCTTGAGCATTTGTAAGTTTTATAACTATCACAAATCTTATTTGGGTCCTACCTGTTACAGATTTAAATGAAACTGCTTGGTTTATTAATATATTTGTCCTACATAGTAAATTTCTGTTAATATTAAAGAAGTCTTACAGCATTATTGAAGAAAAGTTGCTTTTTTAAGTTAAAAAGAAAGAAATTATTATATTTAGTAGCCCTATGTAACCCCCACCTCACCCCGCAAAAATGCACAAACATCTATTTACTATTATTTCCCAGAATGTCTTTTAACCTTGTATTACCTAACTAAAAATTATCTAATGAACACTTCATGCTTTTCAGATGGAACAGCATGGCTTTCTATAGCCTAAATGAGTTCTTAGAAGCATAAACAAGACTTGCTTCTCTCACTGAAGCATAAACCACACTTGTCTCTCACACTGAAGCATAATGTGAAAAGCACTTAAAAAGAATTAAGTCTGACTTCCCAGTTTGAAGGTCATAAATTAAGCTTGTATAAACCTATGTGAAACAAGTTCTAAAAGGTGGCTATGTTTGCCAGGTACCAGGCAGAAGCCTAGTTGAATTCATGATCAAGGGAAGAGATGGTGGATACAAGGTGGTACAAGGTGGTACAAGGTGGATACGATTATAGACTTGGAATCCTGAAGACTTGAGTTCAATTCAAGTTGTACAACTTGAGTTCTGATTCTTTGTGACCCCACTTAGGGTTCTCTTGGTAAAGATACATTTCCTTTCCTGGTTCATTTTATGCATGAGGAAACTAAGGCAAACAGGGTTAAGTGACTTGCTCAGGGTCACACAGCTAGTAAGTGTCTGAGGCCGGATTTGAACTCATGAAGAGGAGTTTTCCTGATTCCAAGCCCAGTGCTCTATCTGTTGTGCCACCTAGCTGTCCCAGACACTTGGAAGCTGTGTGACTCAGTCTCTTTCAGCCTCAGTTCCTTCATCTGTAAAATGGGGATAATAACGTCTACCTCCCGGAATTATTTCAAGGATCAAAAGAAAATAATCATGTAAAGCATTTTACAAACCTTAAAGCACAATGTGAATGTTAGTTATCATCATCATGTCATCACTTGACATCATCTACGTGAATATGTCAAACATGAGGTCTGATTTCACACTCCTTGCATGAGTTTTAGGTATATGGAACTCTTACTGATTTCAAAGAAAATTCTATGCACGTAAGAAACCGGCTGCAGTAATACAGAAGCAGATACATATTTCATTATTGCTAAAAGTCAATTGCTATCTTAGTTCTTATATTTTGTCAGCCACACACTAACTCCTGCTACAGTGATATGTAGTGTAAACAAGAAACTAGCCTCACACTTATGTTTTTGAAGTATTTAAGAGAGTGAATAAATATATCTTTTTTCTGTTAACTGTTCGAGAAAATAAATGTAAAGTAAACCTGTTGGTAAAACTGATAACAAGAAAGTAAATAAGTCTCAGTTATTATGAAAATCCAAATATATTATCGTAAAGAGAAAACAGTGAACATGTTTATCCTTATATCAAAGTGATTTTGATGTCTATATGCCTTGTAAGGTTTATTATTATTATTATTGGGACTAATACAAGTAAATTTCTAATATCTCAGCATTTCCTTTTCTAAACTATTCTTTCAAACTTTTTCCTTCAGCTAGTGTAGTAAGCTTTACAGGAAAAGTTTATATTTTAGGGAATTGGCCGGGGGGGAGGGAAGCTAGAGGAAACAACAGTAAGTTACGAGTTATGGAAATTTTGCAGAAGCTTCAAGGCATAGTAGGTATCACATCAGTCATGAAAGAAGACCTTTTTTAAATCCCACCTCAGACATTTCTTGCTATATGACTCCAGACAAGTTATTTAAGCTCCCTGAGCTTCAATTTCCTTCTCTATAAAATGAAGATAATAATAGCATGTATCTCACAGAGTTACTGTGAGGGCCAAATGAGATAAGGTATATGAGGCATTTTCCAAACCTTAAAGTGATACGTAAATGTTAGTTTTTATAATCATTATTAAATAAAGGAGTGTCATAAGGTTACATCAACTATACATAATGTTAGATATTCTACAAATGGAAATCGTTTCCATTCTGAACTAACTGATGGGGTTTTTTTTCCACTCTATTGTTTATAAATGTGTTTCTTGAGATAAAAGTAAAAGTTGGATCTGTTTGAAAATGGTCTTCTACGTTTTAATTTTCTCAGTCTACAAACTGATGGGGAATGGATTCAGATTCGGCTCTTTCCCTTTGTTAACTGATGTCCTCATTCTTTCATTGTCACTGACCCTAAAAGACTGAGAAGATGGACAGAATCCTAGCTAGGGACACGAACTCCCCAAGTCCCTAGGCCCTTGACCCCACTAAAAGATGTCCCATGGAATCAGAATGACTTCTTAATATACAAGGACTGGGGAGTAGATCACTCATTTATTTGAAATATTATTGGAAGTATAAAGACCTGGTGTGAGTGTATATAGAACCCAGAAGTCTGGGAATGGAGGTTTTTCCCCCTGTAATTTCCACCATACTCCTACCCACCCCCAGCAATGAAGGAATACGATCCTTGAGGTAATAATATTTTTTCCTTGCTACGAGTTACAGTTCTTCCCACAGTTAAAATTTTCGTAAGATTCTCTCAATCAGAGATATTGTGCATATCACAGAAACAGAAATGGAAGTTGTCTTAGTCAAATTTAATCTCTTTAAGAATCAGGCATGGCTGGCCTCTGGGAAAATTATGAAGCTGTCAAAGTTTGTTTTTGTTGCCAGTACAATAATTCTCATTCTCTCTCTCTCTCTCTCTCTCTCTCTCTCTCTCTCTCTCTCTTCTCTCTCTCTCTCTCTCTCTCTCTCTCCCGTTTATCAAAAATACTTCCAGGGAAAGGATCCTGTATCAGATCTTTTTATCTAATCGTAAATTGACTCAATGTGCTACCTCTCCTGGGAATATTTGTCTTTTAATTCCTGTTTCTAATTATAGAACAAAGGACTTCAGGTCCCAGCAAGTTAGGGGGTGGTACCTAGGGAAAGGGAAGGTGGACTGTTTCTTTTGAGCACCCCTGAAATCATTCTGCCTGTGTTGACTGGCATTGGAAATAGACACATAGTTGAAACTCAAAATAGAAATGAGTCCAGTACTGAATAAAAGTCCACCTCATTTTCAGGGTCAGACTAACCACTCAGGAAGCCAGCCAGATTCTCATGCGGCTAATCCATTGGGGTAGCTTCCAAAGCAGCTAGACTACAGGAGCCCGATAACAACTCAATCCAATAAATCAAGAAGCATTTATTAAGTACCTGAGCTCTGCCAGCCTAATTGCTGGAATGTCAAGACATAGGAAATGCTCTCTACCCTTAAGGAGTTTACATCCTATGAGAAAGGCAATTTGATCACATGTAAAAATGTACAAAACATAAATGAAATAAATGTAGTGCAGGCCCCAATGGAGGAAGCTAGGTGGTACAGTAGATAAAGTGCCAGATTGAAGTCAGAAAGACTCATCTTCACGAGTTCAAATCTGGCCTCAGATACTTATTAGTTGTGTAACCCTGGGCAAGGTCTTTAACCCTGTTTACCTCTGTTCCTCATCTGTAAAATGAGCTGAAGAAGGAAATGGCAAAGCACTCCAGTATCTTTGCCAAGAAAACCCCAAATGGGGTCACGAAGAGTCAGACATGACTGAAAATGACTGAACAATAACAGCAACAGTCTGGTGTAGAGGAAAGAACTCAATTTGGCTTATGTCAGCTCTCAGCTGTTACTTAAAACCTGTTTGACTCTCGACTCAGTCACCTGCCACTTCCTTATTCTTCATCTTAAAAGGTGCAGCCTATAGCCTAGCTTAAGAAGATAGTCTGGGGTAGAGGAAAGAACACGGAGCTTGACTTTGGCTCAAATCTCATAACCTATATACCTTGGATAAGTAACTTCTCTCTGGGCCTCAAGCTCTTCATGGATTAAGTGATTTAGACTTGACGGTTTCTTCTAGTACTAAACAGTAAGATTTCCACTTTGGCTGCCATAGCTTGAAATAGCTCTTAACTTGATCTCCATCCCCTCCACATTAATCCTTTTAA